CACACTTAATCAGGTATCTACCTTTGTTGACACACTTAATCAGGTATCTACCTTTATTGTCACACTTAATCAGGTATCTACTTTCATTGACACACTTAATCAGGTATCTACCTTTGTTGTCACACTTAATCAGGTATCTACCTTTATTGACACACTTGCCTCTCTGTCCTTCCATCTAGTTGTTGTTTCGAAGCAATAATTTTCATGAAGTGTAAGTATGTTCTTATAATGTGCAAAGACTATGGCTGAAGTTTTGGCTAATCAGCATGTCTTTAAGTAGTACACAGCAATTTCATCTCCACCTCCCCTGTTTCTTTTTTAGTGAAACTATTTGCCATAATCCAGGTACTTTGGATTACTTTTAAATTATTTTTTTTGTTGCTTTTCAGGGCTTAGGAGACCTGAGGATCTTAGAAATATTGTTAACCTGTGTTGGCCACCATTTGTATGAGGTGAGTTACAGAAGTATTGTTAACCTGTGTTGGCCACCATTTGTATGATGTGAGTTACAGAAATATTGTTAACATGTGTTGGCCACCATTTGTATGAGTTGAGTTACAGAAATATTGTTAACATGTGTTGGCCACCATTTGTATGAGGTGAGTTACAGAAGTTACATTATTACTTGCCACAAAGGTAGGACTATTGTTGAGTGCTATATAGGGTTAGGGTTAGGTAGAGGTGAGTGACAGAAGTTACATTATTACTCGCCACAAAGGTAGGACTAGTGTTGAGTGCTATATAGGGGTAGGGTTAGGTAGAGGTTAGTTACAGAAGTTACATTATTATTTGCCACAAAGGTATGACTATTGTTCAGTGCTATATAGGGTTAAGGCTAGGTAGAGGTGAGTTACAGAAGTTACATCATTATTTGCCACAAAGGTATGACTATTGTTGAGTGCTATATAGGGTTAAGGTTAGGTAGAGGTGAGTTACAGAAGTTACATTATTATTTGCCACAAAGGTATGACTATTGTTGAGTGCTATATAGGATTAGGGTTAGGTAGAGGTGAGTGACAGAAGTTACATTATTACTTGCCACAAAGGTAGGACTATTGTTGAGTGCTATATAGGATTCACAGCAATTAACTGACTGATAAACTATAAACTACATCTATTTCACAACAGTTATGAAACAAGCTACTTCAATTTATATTAATCATATTTTGTTGGCTTGGATGTTAACGGCGGGGGGGGGGTCACATTATATAATGCACTTCCAAGATAGCTGGGGGTCGACTTCCCGATTGGACATGAACAGGAATGGGATCACCTGTCCGACCTGTCTGGGAACTCGTGATATGGTTTCCTACACATTAATACCCCTTCACATTTTCATCCAGACCAACAAAAGTGATTGATATAAGTAGGAAAATTTGTTTCATAATTGTTCTTTTTAAAACCGTTATATTTTGTTTTTAACTAATAAGAGATATACAAGGTAGAAAATGATCACAAGTTGTCTTTTCTACCATAATGTTTAATACTTTGTCCTGTATTCAACATCATTACAAACAAGCTGTCAGGCAGAGTAGAAATTTGTTTGAGGCAGCAAGTTGTCTGGCTGAGTAGAAATTTGTTTGAGGCAGCAAGCTGTCAGGCTGAGTAGAAATTTGTTTGAGGCAGCAAGCTGTCAGACTGAGTAGAAATTTGTTTGAGGCAGCAAGTTGTCTGGCTGAGTAGAAATTTGTTTGAGGCAGCAAGCAGTCAGGCTGAGTAGAAATTTGTTTGAGGCAGAAAGTTGTCAGGCTCAGTAGGAATTTGTTTGAGGCAGCAAGCTGTCAGGCTAAGTAGAATTTATTTTGAGGCAGCAAGCTGTCGGGCTAAGTAGAAATTTGTTTGAGATAAAGAGTTAAGGTAATAGGTTTGTGTCACCATTTCTCAGTATAATTTCTTCAAATTTTGTTGTTATATTGCATTGAAGTAAAGAAAAATTTCTGCCACAAAAAAAGGATTTTAAATGGAAATTTATGTAAAAGGGATTGAATTTTGAAAAGTAATGAGACACAATTTTTTGCAAAATAATGTCAATAAAAATGATACTGTCATAGATTAGTATTGCATTAATGTATATTCATTCAATAAATGCTGAAATTGTGAAAAATAAATTATCTATAAATGATTAAAAATTGACATTTTATAATAAAACCATATACACCTAGTAATTGCATGTAAGAGTTATCTTTCTTGAAAAACTTCACAGTAGTGAAATAGATAGCCGGTTTCCTGAAGCACAGAAAAATGGAGACATGTGACTCACTGATAAAAAACAACTGAATTAATGCCTGGATTGCTTTGAAATACTTTGATATTGAGAGAACACACTGTTCTGTCAATAATAAACATACAATATTCATCAGTTTAAGATTAAACATTAGAATATGCGGAAATTATGATACTGTCTCCCTACATTGGATTTTCAATTTTGTAAATGATATGAAAAAAAACCCACAAAATAAATAATGTAATTCATTTGCCTAATTCTATAGTCCAGGATTTTGGCCAATCAAGTAGCAGAAGGTGTCTCAGTCGACTCACCTGCTGATTGACATGTTTAATCAACACCTCTGCCATTCAACAAGTGGCTTCACTTGCCTGAGAGTTTGTATAAACAGGCAGTTGTGATGTAAATTCCCTCAAACAAAATGTAAATATGATGCATTCTGGGCGAGATAAGTGACATTGTGTATTGAATCAGAAATTAATTTACATAATTATCTTTATGCCAATACTAAATTCTGAGATAAACAAGAAATCTGATCCTGTTTTACTTTTCAGGTGACAGAAATAACATTTAATTTTTGGTATCGCCTTTCTGAAGACCTGTACCAGCGAAGTCAGGACATGTTAACAGATGTGTTCAAACCTTACATACAGAGACTGATCATAGCCCTGTGTCATCATTGTCAGATGGACACTGACCATGTAAGTATTACCAGGGTCAAAGATCATCATTTCCAGATGGACACTGACCATGTAAGTATTACCAGGGTCAAAGGTCATCATTTCCAGATGGACACTGACCATGTAAGTATAACGAGGGTCAAAGGTCATCATTCTCAGATGGACAACAAATATGTATTATGTTAATTTTATAGAAGAGTCTCTTCTTTGTCAGCAAATCTAGCACTATGTGAGGTTGTAAATACTCATACATTTTTGTGATGGTGGTTGTAGATGTGTTTGGTTATAGTCTCTCTGCAAGAGCTTGTTATGATGGTGGATAATAAACCATATGCACACTTCTTGATCAGTAATGCAAATTTTATAGAATTAATGCTCTAAATTATTTTCAAATCACTAATGAAGCCTTTCAATCCCTATGTATCTGACTCATTTTACAGGAGGGTGTGCCAGACGAGTCTGATGACTTCGGCGAGTTCAGGATACGCGTGTCAGAACTAATTAAAGATGTAATATTTGTTGTGGGATCATCCCGATGTTTTAACCAGGTGAGTTAAATTGTCTTGCTGACCAATTTTTAGCTCACCTGCCCGAAGGGGCGGGGACCTGAAGGGGAACTTAGCTAAATGTTTTAAAACGTATCTCCTCCTAAACGCCAGAGAAGATTTCAACCAAATTTGCTCTGAAACTTCATTGGGGGAGGGCAATCATTTCCTAAATAAATGAGACTGGTTCGACACCTGGGGCTAGGAAGACCGGACCCCAAACAGGAAAATTATCTAATATTTTGCTTTAAGACGCTAATACCCACTAATTGCTGAGTGGATTGTGTCAAAAACATTATTGAGGAAGAACAAACATTTCTTAATTGAATGAGGTTGATTGGACCCCTGCGGTCCTAAGAAATGGTACAGCTAGATTATCATATTCTATGGTGTAGTTTTCATAAATTGTTAAAAATTGGTTTCTAGGTTTATAAAAGCTTAAAGATGTACTAATGCATTCAGTTGTATTGACTTAAATATAAAACCATGTGAGCGATACAGGTCCAATGGACCTCTTGTTTGATTTTGTTACAGGTTTGCTGAATAATAACATATTATTTGATATTATTGTGAGTCAGGCTAATTATCTCCAGTTTATTTTATGTAAGAACCATATCTTCTTAATGTCATTACTTTTTAACTTATGAATAATAAAAAAGATTTTTCTATTACAGATGTTTGAAAACTTAAAGTCCCAGACATCAACTACATCGTGGGAGGTAACCGAGGCCTCACTATTTGTTATGTCTGCTGTAGCCAAAAACTTGTTACCGTGAGTACACAATGTCTGGTGTCTGTAGTGTAAATACACACTGTCTGTAGTGTAAATACACACTGTCTGGTGTCTAGTGTAATAACACACTGTCTGGTGTCTGTAGTGTAAATACACACTGTATGGTGTACTGTAGTGTAAATACACTGTCTCATGTCTGTAGTGTAAATACCCTCTGTCTGGTGTCTGTAGTGTAAAATACACACTGTCTGGTGTAAATACACACTGTCTGGTGTCTAGTGTAGTTACACACTGTCTGGTGTCTGTAGTATAAATACACACTGTCTGGTGTCTAGTGTAATTACACACTGTCTGGTGTCTGTTGTGTAAATACACACTCTCTGGTGTCTAGTGTAATAACACACTGTCTGGTGTCTGTTGTGTAAATACACACTCTCTGGTGTCTGTAGTGTAAATACACTGTCTGGTGTGTGTAGTGTAAATACACACTGTCTGGTGTTTGTAGTGTAAATACACACTCTCTGGTGTTAATACACACTGTCTGGTGTTTGTAGTGTAAATTGACACACGGTCTGGTGTCTGTAGTGTAAATACACAATGCTGGTGTCTGTAGTGAAAATACACTGTCTGGTGTTTGTAGTGTAAATACACACTGTCTGGTGTCTAGTGTTATTACACTGTCTGGTGTCTATAGTTTAATACACACTGTCTGGTGTCTGTAGTGAAAATACAAACAGTCTGATGTGTGTAGTGTAAATACACACTGTCTGGTGTCTGGAGTGTAAATACACACTGTCTGGTGTCTAGTGTAATTACACACTGTCTGGTGTCTGTAGTGAAGATACAAACAGTCTGATGTGTGTAGGGTAAATACACACTGTCTGGTGTCTAGTGTTATTACACTGTCTGGTGTCTATAGTTTAATTACACTGTATGGTGTCTGTAGTGAAAATACAAACAGTCTGATGTGTGTAGTGTAAATACACACTGTCTGGTGTCTAGTGTAATTACACACTGTCTGGTGTCTGTAGTGTAAAATACACTGTCTGGTGTCTGTAGTGTAAATACACACTAGTGAAAATACACTGTCTGGTGTTTGTAGTGTAAATACACACTGTCTGGTGTCTGTAGTGTAAATACACACTGCCTGGTGTCTGTAGTGTAAATACACACTTCCTGGTGTCTAGTGTAAATACACACTGTGTAGTGTAAATACACACTGTCTGGTGTCTATAGTTTAATTTCACTGTATGGTGTCTTTAGTGGAAATACAAACAGTCTGATGTGTGTAGTGTAAATACACACTGTCTGGTGTCTGTAGTGTAAATACACACTCTCTGGTGTCTCTAGTGTAAATACACACTGTGTAGTGTAAATACACACTGTCAGGTGTCTAGTGTTATTACACTGTCTGGTGTCTGTGGTGTAAATACACACTGTCTGGTGTATGTAGTGTAAATACACACTGTCTGTTAATTGTCTGTAGTGTAAATACACACTGTCTGTTAATTGTCTGTAGTGTAAATACACACTGTCTGGTGTCTGTAGTGTAAATACAAACAGTCTGTTGTGTGTAGTGTAAATACACACTGTCTGTTAATTGTCTAGTGTAAATACACACTGCCTGGTGTCTGTAGTGTAAATACACACTGTCTGGTGTCTGTTGTGTAAATACAAACAGTCTGTTGTGTGTAGTGTAAATACACACTGTCTGTTAATTGTCTAGTGTAAATACACACTGTCTGGTGTCTGTAGTGTAAATACACACTGTCTGGTGTCTGTAGTGTAAATACACACCGTCTGTAGTGAAAATACAAACAGTCTGGTGTCTGTAGTGAAAAATACACTGTCTGGTGTCTGTTGTGTAAATACACACTGTCTGGTGTCTGTAGTGTAAATACACACCGTCTGTAGTGAAAATACAAACAGACTGGTGTCTGTAGTGAAAAATACACTGGCTGGTGTCTGTTGTGTAAATACACACTGTCTGGGGTCTGTAGTGTAAATACACACCGTCTGGGGTCTGTAGTGTAAATACACACCGTCTGTAGTGAAAATACAACCAGTCTGGTGTCTGTAGTGAAAAATACACTGGCTGGTGTCTGTTGTGTAAATACACACTGTCTGGGGTCTGTAGTGTAAATACACACTCTATTGTGGTTGTAGTGTAAATACACTCTATAGTGTTTGTAGTGTAAATACACACCGTCTGTAGTGAAAATACAACCAGTCTGGTGTCTGTAGTGAATAATACACTGTCTGGTGTCTGTTGTGTAAATACACACTGTCTGGGGGTTTTAGCGTAAATACAAGCAGTCTGTTGTGTGTAGTGTAAATACGCACTGCCTGGTGTCTGTAGTGTAAATACTCTGTCTCATATCTGTAGTGTAAAAACACACTGGCTGGTGTCTGTAGTGTAAATACAAACAGTCGGTTGTGTGTAGTGTAAATACACACTCTATGGTGTTTGTAGTGTAAATACACACCGTCTGGTGTCTGTAGTGTAAATACACTGTCTCATATCTGTAGTGTAAAAACACACTGTCTGGTGTCTGTAGTGTAAATACACGCTGTCTGGTGTGTGTAATGTAAACACACACTGTCTTGTGTTTTTATGATCTCATTTTACACACCACAATCATTTACTGGTACGACAGCATAGAACTGGTTTACAGTATGTTAACTACACAAGCTACTGATTTATCAGAACTTCTGTTGTCTGACAAAATGTGCAAGCCGTTTGTTCTCTGATAGAAGGCACTTATCTTCTGTTCTCTGATATATTATGCTGAATAGATGAAGTATGCTAATTTGTTAGTTGAAATATGCTATGCTTTTTGTTATTCAGAGAGGAAAATGAGATTGTGCCAGAAGTTGTGAATGCCATCCTGTCTATCCCGGACACAGCTCATGTGTCTGTGCGACACACCAGTGTACGGCTGTTTGGAGAGCTGAGCGAGTGGATAGAGAAACACCCAGAATTCTTAGGTATACAATTTCTATAGAGATATATATGGACAATTTTAAGATATTGCGATGTATTATATTTATATAATATTTTCCTGACTATGTTTATGTTATTGCTTGCAATTCATCTTAAACCTTCTCAGAAATCTTTTTAATTTGGAAGAAGATAAATTTCAAATCCAGAAATTTTATCAATTGACTTTTGAAAACCTGTTTGCCGACAGACCCTGTGTTGCAGTTTCTGTTGAGAGGATTACAGGACCCGAAGTTGGCAACTGTAGCGGCAAATTCCCTCCAATCAATATCAACAACTTGTCGCGAGAAAATGATAGACCATTTCCAGGGACTCTTACAAATTGTGCAGGCTATAGATTCATTCAACCTGTCATCTGAGGCCGCTATAGGCCTTCTCAAAGGTACGTCTGAATACCCTGAGCACAATATATTGGCAGAATGTGCTTTGTTGGATGTTTACAAGACCACACATACTCTCCCTGAGCTAAAACCTATGTGGTAATGTTGTGAAAATGAATGCTGCAGAGAATAACTTGAGGCTCCAGGGCCCGTAGTCATGAAAGCGATCTCATGCTCAAGCATGGATTTTGTGCTCAAGCCTAAATTCTTGTTTTAGTTATACATTAATAAACAACTCATATTTTGTCAATAATTTGGAAAAAAATTGAAGAGACTCAAAGTCAAATACTGTTTTCAATTTTTACATTTGACTTTTTGATCGTTTGAGATTATTTAAGCGAGTGACAAGAAAGTAGGTTTGAGCACTGAATCCATGTTTGAGCGTGAGAACAGTTTCATGAATACGGGCCCTGATGGTGTTTTATTTTGCAGGAACAGCTACCATACTGGGGCGCTTACCTTGTGATAAAGTTGGAGATGGTCTTACTCAACTGTGTTCATACCAACTGTTACCACTCAACAAGGTATGAGAGCTTTTTAGTGTAAAAAATATCAGTTTGAAGTTGATGTTTTCATCTTTTCAAAACTACTTCTCAAGACCATTTGGAAGCTTTTAACTAAATTTATTATTTGAAATACTTGAATAGTATAAATTAAGGCTGTGGCAATTCAGGAATCAAAGACTCAGGGCTCTTTGTAGGGAAACATTACAAATGTCAACTTTGTATTTCACATCACTGGTATGGAAATATGACAAATGCCAACTTTGTATTTCACATCACTGGTATGGAAATATGACAAATGTCAACTTTGTATTTCACATCACTGGTATGGAAATATGACAAATGTCAACTTTGTATTTCACATCACTGGTATGGAAATATGACAAATGTCAACTTTGTATTTCACATCACTGGTATGGAAATATGACAAATGTCAACTTTGTATTTCACATCACTGGTATGGAAATATGACAAATGTCAACTTTATATTTCACATCAGTGGTAAAGGTATGGTCTTGCATATGCAAGTTGTCAAGTTGTAAGTTAAGATCAAGGAATATAGCTGAAGTAAAAGAGCCTTTGGTTTATAGTTTAGTTGTAAGCTGTCCCTCTTTGTCAGGTTGTAAGTTAAGATCAAGGAATATAGCTGAAGTAAAAGAGCCTTTGGTTTATAGTTTAGTAGTAAGCTGTCTCTGTTTGTCAGGTTGTAAGATAAGATCAAGGAATACAGCTGAAGTAAAAGAGCCTTTGGTTTATAGTTTAGTAGTAAGCCGTCCCTGTTTGTCAGGTTGTAAGTTAAGATCAAGGAATAAAGCTGAAGTAAAAGAGCCTTTGGCTTATAGTTTAGTTGTAAGCTGTCCCTCTTTTTCAGGTTGTAAGTTAAGATCAATGAATATAGCTGAAGTAAAAGAGCCTTTGGTTTATAGGTTAGTAGTAAGCTGTCTCTGTTTGTCAGGTTGTAAGATAAGATCAAGGTATACAGCTGAAGTAAAAGAGCCGTTGGTTTATAGTTTAGTAGTAAGCCGTCCCTGTTTGTCAGGTTGTAAGTTGAGATCAAGGAATACAGCTGAAGTAAATGAGCCTTTGGTTTATAGTTTAGAAGCAAGTCGTCCCTGTTTGTCAGGTTGTAAGTTAAGATCAAGTAATACAGCTGAAGTAAAAGAGCCTTTGGTTTATAGTTTAATAGTAAGTCGTCCCTGTTTGTCAGGTTGTAAGTTAAGATCAAGGAATACAGCTGAATTAAAGGGTCTTTGGTTTATAGTTTAGTAGTAAGCTGTCCCTGTTTGTCAGGTTGTAAGTTAAGATCAAGGAATACAGCTGAAATAAAAGAGCCTTTGGTTTATAGTGTAGTTGTAAGCCGTCCCAGTTTGTCAGGTTGTAAGTTAAGATCAAGGAATACAGCTGAAATAAAAGAGCCTTTGTTTCATAGTTTAGTTGTAAGCTGTCCCTGTTTGTCAGATCGTAAGTTAAGATCAAGTAATACAGCTGAAGTAAAAGAGCCTTTGGTTTATAGTTTAGTAGTGAACCGTCCCTGTTTGTCAGGTTGTAAGTTAAGATCAAGTAATACAGCTGAAGTAAATGAGTCTTTGGTTTATAGTTTAGTAGTAAGCCGTCCCTGTTTGTCAGGTTGTAAGTTAAGATCAAGGAATACAGCTGAAATAAAAGAGCCTTTGGTTTATAGTTTAGAAGTAAGTCGTCCCTGTTTGTCAGGTTGTAAGTTAAGATCAAGTAATACAGCTGAATTAAAAGAGCCTTTGGTTTATAGTTTAGTTGTAAGCCGCCCCTGTTTGTCAGGTTGTAAGTTAAGATCAAGGAATACAGCTGAAGTAAAAGAGCCTTTGGTTTATAGTTTAGTAGTTAGCTCTCCCTGTTTGTCAGGTTGTAAGTTAAGATCAAGGAATACAGCTGAAGTAAAAGAGTCTTTGGTTTATAGTTTAGTAGTGAACCGTCCCTGTTTGTCAGGTTGTAAGTTAAGATCAAGTAATACAGCTGAAGTAAGAGCATTTGGTGGCCTTGGTTACAAGTTCTTAGGTTATATAATATTATGTGGTCAATGAAATGATCTCTGAGTAAATATGACCATCAAGAAAAGTTGAAAACGAGTAAATTGTGCAAAAATTGAAGTGGTTCTCATCCTCTTTTTATAACTTTACCTAATTTGGTTATATTTATGTCATATTTTGTGGACTTAAAAACACAGCAGACTCAAAATAATGTATGCTGTTAAACTTTGATAACCATAAACACTGCAGACTCAAAATAATGTATGCTGTTAAACTTTGATAACCATAAACACAGCAGACTCAAAATAATGTATGCTGTTAAACTTTGATAACCATAAACACAGCAGACTCAAAATAATGTATGCTATTAAACTTTGATAACCATAAACACAGCAGACTCAAAATAATGTATGCTGTTAAACTTTGATAACCATAAACACAGCAGACTCAAAATAATGTATGCTATTAGACTTTGATAACCATAAACACAGCAGACTCAAAATAATGTATGCTGTTAAACTTTGATAACCATAAACACAGCAGACTCAAAATAATGTATGCTGTTAGACTTTGATAACCATAAACACAGCAGACTCAAAATAATGTATGCTGTTAAACTTTGATAACCATAAACACAGCAGACTCAAAATAATGTATGCTGTTAGACTTTGATAACCATAAACACAGCAGACTCAAAATAATGTATGCTGTTAAACTTTGATAACCATAAACACAGCAGACTCAAAATAATGTATGCTGTTAAACTTTGATAACCATAAACACAGCAGACTCAAAATAATGTATGCTGTTAGACTTTGATAACCATAAACACAGCAGACTCAAAATAATGTATGCTGTTAAACTTTGATAACCATAAACACAGCAGACTCAAAATAATGTATGCTGTTAGACTTTGATAACCATAAACACAGCAGACTCAAAATAATGTATGCTGTTAAACTTTGATAACCATAAACACAGCAGACTCAAAATAATGTATGCTGTTAGACTTTGATAACCATAAACACAGCAGACTCAAAATAATGTATGCTGTTAAACTTTGATAACCATAAACACAGCAGACTCAAAATAATGTATGCTGTTAGACTTTGATAACCATAAACACAGCAGACTCAAAATAATGTATGCTGTTAAACTTTGATAACCATAAACACAGCAGACTCAAAATAATGTATGCTGTTAGACTTTGATAACCATAAACACAGCAGACTCAAAATAATGTATGCTGTTAAACTTTGATAACCATAAACACAGCAGACTCAAAATAATGTATGCTGTTAGACTTTGATAACCATAAACACAGCAGACTCAAAATAATGTATGCTGTTAAACTTTGATAACCATAAACACAGCAGACTCAAAATAATGTATGCTGTTAGACTTTGATAACCATAAACACAGCAGACTCAAAATAATGTATGCTGTTAAACTTTGATAACCATAAACACAGCAGACTCAAAATAATGTATGCTGTTAGACTTTGATAACCATAAACACAGCAGACTCAAAATAATGTATGCTGTTAAACTTTGATAACCATAAACACAGCAGACTCAAAATAATGTATGCTGTTAGACTTTGATAACCATAAACACAGCAGACTCAAAATAATGTATGCTGTTAAACTTTGATAACCATAAACACAGCAGACTCAAAATAATGTATGCTGTTAAACTTTGATAACCATAAACACAGCAGACTCAAAATAATGTATGCTGTTAAACTTTGATAACCATAAACACAGCAGACTCAAAATAATGTATGCTGTTAGACTTTGATAACCATAAACACAGCAGACTCAAAATAATGTATGCTGTTAAACTTTGATAACCATAAACACAGCAGACTCAAAATAATGTATGCTGTTAAACTTTGATAACCATAAACACAGCAGACTCAAAATAATGTATGCTGTTAAACTTTGATAACCATAAACACAGCAGACTCAAAATAATGTATGCTGTTAAACTTTGATAACCATAAACACAGCAGACTCAAAATAATGTATGCTGTTAGACTTTGATAACCATAAACACAGCAGACTCAAAATAATGTATGCTGTTAAACTTTGATAACCATAAACACAGCAGACTCAAAATAATGTATGCTGTTAAACTTTGATAACCATAAACACAGCAGACTCAAAATAATGTATGCTGTTAAACTTTGATAACCATAAACACAGCAGACTCAAAATAATGTATGCTGTTAAACTTTGATAACCATAAACACAGCAGACTCAAAATAATGTATGCTGTTAAACTTTGATAACCATAAACACAGCAGACTCAAAATAATGTATGCTGTTAAACTTTGATAACCATAAACACAGCAGACTCAAAATAATGTATGCTGTTAAACTTTGATAACCATAAACACAGCAGACTCAAAATAATGTATGCTGTTAAACTTTGATAACCATAAACACAGCAGACTCAAAATAATGTATGCTGTTAAACTTTGATAACCATAAACACAGCAGACTCAAAATAATGTATGCTGTTAAACTTTGATAACCATAAACACAGCAGACTCAAAATAATGTATGCTGTTAAACTTTGATAACCATAAACACAGCAGACTCAAAATAATGTATGCTGTTAAACTTTGATAACCATAAACACAGCAGACTCAAAATAATGTATGCTGTTAAACTTTGATAACCATAAACACAGCAGACTCAAAATAATGTATGCTGTTAAACTTTGATAACCATAAACACAGCAGACTCAAAATAATGTATGCTGTTAAACTTTGATAACCATAAACACAGCAGACTCAAAATAATGTATGCTGTTAAACTTTGATAACCATAAACACAGCAGACTCAAAATAATGTATGCTGTTAAACTTTGATAACCATAAACACAGCAGACTCAAAATAATGTATGCTGTTAAACTTTGATAACCATAAACACAGCAGACTCAAAATAATGTATGCTGTTAAACTTTGATAACCATAAACACAGCAGACTCAAAATAATGTATGCTGTTAAACTTTGATAACCATAAACACAGCAGACTCAAAATAATGTATGCTGTTAAACTTTGATAACCATAAACACAGCAGACTCAAAATAATGTATGCTGTTAAACTTTGATAACCATAAACACAGCAGACTCAAAATAATGTATGCTGTTAAACTTTGATAACCATAAACACAGCAGACTCAAAATAATGTATGCTGTTAAACTTTGATAACCATAAACACAGCAGACTCAAAATAATGTATGCTGTTAAACTTTGATAACCATAAACACAGCAGACTCAAAATAATGTATGCTGTTAAACTTTGATAACCATAAACACAGCAGACTCAAAATAATGTATGCTGTTAAACTTTGATAACCATAAACACAGCAGACTCAAAATAATGTATGCTGTTAAACTTTGATAACCATAAACACAGCAGACTCAAAATAATGTATGCTGTTAAACTTTGATAACCATAAACACAGCAGACTCAAAATAATGTATGCTGTTAAACTTTGATAACCATAAACACAGCAGACTCAAAATAATGTATGCTGTTAAACTTTGATAACCATAAACACAGCAGACTCAAAATAATGTATGCTGTTAAACTTTGATAACCATAAACACAGCAGACTCAAAATAATGTATGCTGTTAAACTTTGATAACCATAAACACAGCAGACTCAAAATAATGTATGCTATTAGACTTTGATAACCATAAACACAGCAGACTCAAAATAATGTATGCTGTTAAACTTTGATAACCATAAACACAGCAGACTCAAAATTATGTATGTTGTTAAACTTTGATAACCTTTGTTGTAGATTATAGCCACAGACAACAACAAACCTAAACAGGGCAGTACAGATGACCCCACTATTTGGCTTGACAGACTGGCGGCCATATTTAGGTAATACAGTTGTGTGATCGTACAACGTTACACGATAAGGCCTCACTATTTTTGGTACATTATGCAGTCACACAACTGTACATTTTGTCAGATAAATGAACTGTCACACTTCTGAAAAATTATACACTTCTGAAACATCAGAAAATAGATCCAATCACAACAACTTCTGATCATGTTACACAATACAACATACTCCTGAAATTTGACACGATTCATATATTATACACTTCTGACACATAAAAAACACTTCTGACACTTGAAACACGTCTAACACATAAACACTTCTGACACATAAATCACTTCTGACACTTGAAACACTTCTGACGCATAAAACACTTCTGACACTTAAAACACTTCTAACACATAAATCACTTCTGACACATAAAAAACTTCTGACACATAAAACACTTCTGATGCATAAAACACTTCTGACACTTAAAACACGTCTAACACTTAAACACTTCTGACACTTAAAACACGTCTAACACATAAACACTTCTGATACATAAAACACTTCTAACACATAAAACACTTCTGATGCATAAAACACGTTTAACACATAAATCACTTCTGACGCATAAAACACTTCTGACACTTAAAACACTTCTGACGCGTAAAACACTTCTGACACATAAAACACTTCTGACACTTCAAACACTTCTGATGCATAAAACACTTCTGACACATAAAAACTTCTGACACATAAAACACGTATGACACATAAAACACTTGTAACACATATAACACTTGTGACACATAAAACTCTTCTGACACATAAAACACTTCTGTTGCATAAAACACTTCTGACACTTCAAACACTTCTGATGCATATATCACTTCCGACACTAAACACTTTGAAGCATAAAACACTTCTGACGCAACAAACACTTCTGATGCATAAAACACTTCTGACACATAAAAAACTTCTGACACATAAAACACGTATGACACATAAAACACTTGTAACACATAAAACACTTGTGACACATAAAACACTTCTGATGCATAAAACACTTCTGACACATAAGACACTTCTGACACATAAAAACTTCTGACACATAAATCACTTCTGACACATAAAACAACACTCACTTCTGACACATAAAACACTTCAAACACTTCAAACACTTCTGATGCATAAAACACTTCTGACACTTAAAACACGTCTAACACTCAAACACTTCTGACACATAAAACACTTCAAACACTTCAAACAGTTCTGATGCATAAAACACTTCTGACACATAAAACACGTCTGACACATAAAACCTTCTGACACATAAATCACTTCTGACACATAAAACAACACTCACTTCTGACACATAAAACACTTCTGACACATAAAACGCTTCTGACACATAAAACACTTCTGACACTTCAGACACTTCTGATGCATAAAACACTTCTGATGCATAAAACACTTCTGACGCATAAAACACTTCTGACACTTAAAACACGTCTAACACATAAACACTTCTGACGCATAAAACACTTCTGACACTTAAAACAAGTCTAACACTTAAAACACGTTTAACACATAAATCACTTCTGACGCATAAAACACTTCTGACACTTAAAACACTTCTGATGCATAAATCACTTCTGACACATAAAACACTTCTGACACTTCAAACACTTCTGATGCATAAAACACTTCTGACACTAAACACTTTGAAGCATAAAACACTTCTGACGCAACAAACACTTCTGACACTTAAAACACGTCTAACACATAAACACTTCTGACACATAAAACACTTCTGACACATAAAAAACTTCTGACACATAAAACATGTATGACACATAAAACACTTGTAACACATAAAACACTTGTGACACATAAAACACTTCTGATGCATAAAACACTTCTGACACATAAAACACTTCTGACACATAAAAACTTCTGACACATAAATCACTTCTGACACATAAAACACTCACTTCTGACACATAAAACACTTCAAACACTTCTGACACATAAAACACTTCTGACACTTCAAACACTTCTGATGCATAAAATACTTCTGACACATAAAACACTTGCAACACTTAAAAACACTTGTGACACTTAAAACACTTATGATGCATAAAACACTTCTGAAACATAAAACACTTCTGACACATAAAACACTTCAAACACTTCTGACACATAAAATACTTCTGACACTTCCAACACTTCTGACGCAAAAAACACTTCTGACATATAAAACACTTCTGACACATAAAACACTTCTGACACTTCAAACACTTCTGACATATAAAACACTTCTGACACATAAAACACTTCAAACACTTCTGACCCATAAAATACTTCTGACACTTAACACTTTGAAGCATAAAACACTTCTGACGCAAAAAAACACTTCTGACACGTAAAACACTTCTGACACTTAAAACACGTCTAACACATAAACACTTCTGACACATAAAACACTTCTGACACATAAAAAAACTTCTGACACATAAAACACTTCTGACACATAAAACTTGTAACACATAAAACACTTCTGATGCATAAAACACTTCTGATGCATAAAACACTTCTGACACATAAAACACTTCTGACACTTAAAAAACCTCTGACACATAAATAACTTCTGACACATAAAACACTTCTGACACATAAAACACTTCAAACACTTCTGACACATAAAATACTTCTGACACTTCAAACACTTCTGACGCAAAAAACACTTCTGACACATAAAACACTTCTGACACATAAAACACTTCTGACACTTCAAACACTTCTGACACATAAAACACTTTTGACACATAAAACACTTCAAACACTTCTGACCCATAAAATACTTCTGACACTTAAAACACTTCTGACACATAAAACACTTCAAACACTTCTGATGCATAAAACACTTCTGATGCATAAAACACTTCTGACACATAAAACACTTCAAACACTTCTGACGCATAAAACACTTCTAATGCATAAAACACTTTTGATTAAAATACTTAAAAGTGAGACAATTTTTGGTCATTTCTGTATAGTTTGTGTTAATATTTTAGACACACAAACCCAACGGTGACAAATGGCACATCACATCCATGCCTTGCAGCAATCCAGGAGGTAAGTCTTCAATCACATTACATACTGGGCGTGGTGGGGTGAATTATTACATAAATTAGTGATTAAGTCCTACTTCCCAACATCTGGGGTACAAGTATCTTGTAATTTCTTTTTAAGTTAACCTTCACAACATCTGGGGGTACAAGTATCCAGTAACTTCTGTATAAGTCAGGCCAAATAAGATTAATTACTTGGTTCTCAGGCCAAATGGCCAAGTGAGCGCATGCCATGGTGCAGCGTCCGTCATCCGTCCGTCGTCCATCCGTCTGTCACCACCCGTCCGTCCGCCCGACGTCAATATTTTACTTTAAACAACTTCTTCTTAATAACCAAAAGGCCTAGGGTGATGATATTTGGCCAGAGGCAACCTGGGATGAAGGGCTACCAAGTTTGTTCAAATAAATGACCTTCACCTATTTTCAAGGTCACAGGGGTCAAATATATTTAAAACTTTAAACAACTTCTTCTGAATAACCAAAATGCCCAGAATGATGATATTTGGCTAATAGCATGCTAGGATGAAGGGCTACCAAGTTTGTTCAAATGAATGACCTTCATCCATTTTCAAGGTCACAGGGGTCAATTGTCTTAAACAATCTTTATACAAATTCTTTTGAATAACTAAGAGGCCTAGGATAATGATATTTGGCCAGTAACATGCTAGGGTGAAGGGCTACCAAGTTTGTTCAAATGAATGACCTTGACTTATATTCAAGGTCACAGGGGTCAAATATGTTAAAAACCTTTCAACAACTTCTCCTGAATAACCAAAAGGCCTAGGATAATGATATTTGGCCAGTAGCATGCTGGAATGAAGATCTACCAAGTTTGTTCAAATGAATGACCTTGACAAATATTCAAGGTCACAATGGTGAAATATGTTTAAAACATTTAAACAACTTCTCAATAACCGCAAGTCCTAGGATGATGATCTTTAGCCAGTAACATGCTAGGGTGAAGGGCTACCAAGTTTGTTCAAATGAATGACCTTGACGTATATTCAAGGTCACAGGGGTCAAATATGTTAACAAGCTTTAAACAACTTCTTCTGAATAACTAAGAGGCCTAGGTTTAAGATATTTGGCTAGTAGCATGCTGTGATAAAGGGCTGCTACCAAGTTTGTTCATATGAATGACCTTCTTCCATTTTGAAGGTCACAGGGGTCAACTGTCTTACCAATTTTTAAACAACTTCTTCTGAATAACTAACAGGCCTAGGATAATGATATATGGCCAGCAACATGCTGGGATAAAGGGCAACCAGGTTTATTCAAATGAATGATCTTTACTTATATTCAAGGTCACTGGGTTCAAATATATTTAAAACTTTTATACATCTTCTTCTGAATAACCAAGAGGCCTAGGATAATGATATTTGGCCAGTAGCATGCTGGGATAAAGGGCTGTCAAGTTTTTTCAAATAAATTACCTTTACATATACTCTAGGTCACAGGGGTCAAGTATATTTAAAACTTTTATCAACTTCTTCTGAATAACCAAAATCCCCAGAATGATGATATTTGTTCATTAACAGGCTGGGATGAAGGGCTACCAATTTTGTCAAAATGAATGAACTTCGCCTATATTCAAGGTCACAGTGGTCAATATATGTTTCAATCTATAATTGACTTGTTCTGTATAACCAACAGGTCCAGGGTAATGATATTTTGTCAAAAGCATGCTGGAATGGAAGACTTTAAACTCTGTTCAACCTAATGTCCTTGTTCGACATTCAAGATCACAGGCGTCATATGTTTAAATCTTTTATCAGGTTCTTATGAATCAAACACTGATAATCTGTCTGTAGCTGTATTTTAGTCCACTTTTAAGATTACAAGTGTGAGATTAATACCAGGTGAGCGATTCAGGCCCATTGGGCCTCTTGTTTTCAAAAGAGATGCGTCAGGGCAGTATATTTTGTTTCATTTTACATGGCAAAAACGAGATGAGGGCGATTTTTTTTTCTTATTGTGTAGTTTGTAAAACGTTCATTGTTGGCATTACCTTGTCTTTTTATTATAGTTGTGTAGAGAACCGTCATAGAGCAAGCCTTCTAAAATCCCTCCACGATGTTCCAGACGAGAATCACGAACCCCCCCATTCCTTATTTGTACGGAAATGAGCGCCATTTGTACACAAGACTAATAAGCTAATAATAAGTCATAATCATTTTAACGCTTGCCTGTATATCAATCCTTATCTTTATTCAAACGTTTTCGGGACTTGGGTGACTAACGAGTAAAAACGACATGCGAACCAATATTCCAGAATTTTTTAAAGATGGTGGCTGGCGCATTCACAATTTTTTTATATTACTTTCACGAAAAAATCGGCAATGTGGTGCCCTAAAAGGAAATGCGCGAGAGCCTGAGAACCAAGTAATCATTTTTTTTTACCTTATACTTCACAACATCTGTTGGTACAAGTATCCTGTAACTTCTGTATAAGTCAACCTTCACAACTTCTTGGGGTACAATTATCCAGTTACTTCTGTATAAATCACCATTCACAACATCTGTTGGTACAAGTATCCTGTAATTTCTGTATAAGTCAACATTCACAACATCTGGGGTACAAGTATTCTGTAATTTCTGTATAAGTCAACCTTCACTACATCTGGGGTACAAGTATCCTGTGACTTATGTTTAAGTCAACCTTCACAACATCTGGGGTACAAGTATTCTGTAATTTCTGTATAAGTCAACATTCACAACATCTGTTGGTACAAGTATTCTTTAATTTCTGTATAAGTCAACCTTACTACATCTGGGGTACAAGTATCCAGTGACTTATGTTTAAGTCAACCTACACAACATCTGGGGTACAAGTATCCTGTAACTTCTGTATAAGTCAACCTTCACAACTTCTTGGGGTACAAGTATCCTGTAACTTCTGTATAAATCACCATTCACTACATCTGGGGTACAACTATCCAGTTACTTCTGTATAAGTCAACCTTCACTACATCTGGGGTACAAGTATCATGTGACTTATGTATAAGTCAACATTCACAACATCTGTTGGTACATGAATCCTGTAATTTCTGTATAAGTCAACATTCACAACATCTGGGGTACAAGTATCCTGTAATTTCTTTATAAGTCAACCTTCACAACATCTGGGGTACAAGTATCCTGTAACTTCTGTATAAGTCAACATTCACTTCATCTGTTTGTACAAGTATCCTGTAATTTCTGTATAAGACAACATTCACAACATCTGTTGGTACAAGTATTCTGTAATTTCTGTAGAAGTCAACCTTCACTACATCTGGGGTACAAGTATCATGTAATTTCTGTATAAGTCAACATTCACAACATCTGGGATACAAGTATCCTGTAATTTCTGTATAAGTCAACATTCACAAAATCTGTTGGTACAAGTATTCTGTAATTTCTGTAGAAGTCAACCTTCACTACATCTGGGGTACAAGTATCATGTGACTTACGTATAAGTCAACATTCACAACATCTGTTGGTACATGAATCCTGCAATTTCTGTATAAGTCAACATTCACAACATCTGGGGTACAAGTATCCTGTAACTTCTGTATAAGTCAACATTCACAACATCTGGGGTACAAGTATCCTGTAACTTCTGTATCAGTGATCCTTCACACCATCTGGGGTACAAGTATCCTGTAATTTCTTTATAAGTCAACCTTCACAACATCTGTTGGTACAAGTATCCTGTAGTATCCTGTAACTTCTTTATAAGTCAACCTTCACAACATCTGTTGGTACAAGTATCCTGTAACTTCTTTATAAATCACCATTCACAACATCTGTTGGTACAAGTATCCTGTAACTTCTTTATAAGTCAACCTTCACAACATCTGGGGTACAAGTATCATGTAACTTCTGTATCAGTCATCCTTCACAACATCTGGGGTACAAGTATCCTGTAACTTCTGTATAAGTCAACATTCACTTCATCTGTTGGTACAAGTATCCTGTAACTTCTTTATAAGTCAACCTTCACAACATCTGGGGTACAAGTATCCTGTAACTTCTGTATCAGTCATCCTTCACAACATCTGGGGTACAAGTATCCTGTAATTTCTGTATAAGTCAACCTTCACAACATCTGGGGTACAAGTATCCAGTTACTTCTGTATAAGTCAACCTTCACTACATCTGTTGGTACAAGTATCCTGTAATTTCTGTATAAGTCAACCTTCACAACATCTGTTGGTACAAGTATCCTGTAATTTCTGTATAAGTCAACATTCACAACATCTGTTGGTACAAGTATCCTGTAATTTCTGTATAAGTCAACATTCACAACATCTGTTGGTACAAGTATCCTGTAATTTCTGTATAAGTCAACATTCACAACATCTGTTGGTACAAGTATCCTGTAATTTCTGTATAAGTCAACATTCACAACATCTGTTGGTACAAGTATCCTGTAATTTCTGTATAAGTCAACATTCACAACATCTGTTGGTACAAGTATCCTGTAATTTCTGTATAAGTCAACATTCACAACATCTGTTGGTACAAGTATCCTGTAATTTCTGTATAAGTCAACATTCACAACATCTGTTGGTACAAGTATCCTGTAATTTCTGTATAAGTCAACATTCACAACATCTGTTGGTACAAGTATCCTGTAATTTCTGTATAAGTCAACATTCACAACATCTGTTGGTACAAGTATCCTGTAATTTCTGTATAAGTCAACATTCACAACATCTGTTGGTACAAGTATCCTGTAATTTCTGTATAAGTCAACATTCACAACATCTGTTGGTACAAGTATCCTGTAATTTCTGTATAAGTCAACATTCACAACATCTGTTGGTACAAGTATCCTGTAATTTCTGTATAAGTCAACATTCACAACATCTGTTGGTACAAGTATCCTGTAATTTCTGTATAAGTCAACATTCACAACATCTGTTGGTACAAGTATCCTGTAATTTCTGTATAAGTCAACATTCACAACATCTGTTGGTACAAGTATCCTGTAATTTCTGTATAAGTCAACATTCACAACATCTGTTGGTACAAGTATCCTGTAATTTCTGTATAAGTCAACATTCACAACATCTGTTGGTACAAGTATCCTGTAATTTCTGTATAAGTCAACATTCACAACATCTGTTGGTACAAGTATCCTGTAATTTCTGTATAAGTCAACATTCACAACATCTGTTGGTACAAGTATCCTGTAATTTCTGTATAAGTCAACATTCACAACATCTGTTGGTACAAGTATCCTGTAATTTCTGTATAAGTCAACATTCACAACATCTGTTGGTACAAGTATCCTGTAATTTCTGTATAAGTCAACATTCACTACATCTGTTGGTACAAGTATCCTGTAATTTCTGTATAAGTCAACATTCACAACATCTGTTGGTACAAGTATCCTGTAATTTCTGTATAAGTCAACATTCACTTCATCTGTTGGTACAAGTATCCTGTAATTTCTGTATAAGTCAACATTCACAACATCTGTTGGTACAAGTATCCTGTAATTTCTGTATAAGTCAACCTTCACTACATCTGTTGGTACAAGTATCCTGTAATTTCTGTATAAATCACCATTCACAACATCTGTTGGTACAAGTATCCTGTGACTTATGTATAAGTCAACATTCACAACATCTGTTGGTACAAGTATCCTGTAATTTCTGTATAAGTCAACCTTCACTACATCTGGGATACAAGTATCCCGTACAAGTATTCCTGTCAATTTGATGATATTTTGCACTCAGGTCTGATTTACTCAGTATAGACTAAACGTTTTTTTGTTTGTTTGTCTAGGTATGGCCAGTGCTGTCACAGGCTTGTGAAAAGTACCAGGCTGACATTCGCATTGTAGAAAGGTGCTGTCGCTGTATACGCTTTGCTATCAGGTGCCTGGGGAAAAGCTCAGCATCTCTGCTCAACCCTTTAGTATCTCAGGTGAACATTTCATATCTCTTGATGTTTGTCTGAATTTGGGTGTGATACATACATATCCTGTGTGTATGTGTATGATACATAAATCCTGTGTGTATGTGTATTCATATCTCTTGATGTTTGTCTGAATTTGGGTGTGATACATACATAACCTGTGTGTATGTGTATGGTACATAAATCTTGTGTGTATGTGTATGGTTTGTATGTGTATGATACAAACATGTATGTGTATGATACATAAATCCGGTGTGTATGTGTATGATACATTCATATCTTGTTTGTATGTGTATGATACCTAAATCCTGTGTGTAGGTGTATGATACATAAATCCGGTGTGTATGTGTATGATACCTAAATCCTGTGTGTACGTGTATGATCCATAAATCCTGTGTGTATGGGTATGATACATAAATCCTGTGTGTATGTGTATGATACATACATATCTTGTTTGTATGTGTATGATACCTAAATCCTTTGTTTATGTGTATGATACATACATCTTGTGTGTATGTGTATGATACATAAATCCTGTGTGTATGTGTATGATACATACATATCTTGTTTGTATGTGTATGTTACCTAAATCCTTTGTTTATGTGTATGATAAATACATCTTGTGTGTATGTGTATGATACATAAATCCCGTGTTTATGTGTATGATACCTAAATCCTGTGTGTATGTGGATGATACATAAATCTTGTGTTTATGTGTATGATTCATAAATCCTGTGTGTATGTGTATGATAAATAAATCCTGTGTGTATGTGTATGATACCTAAATCCTCTGTGTATGTGTATGATACATAAATCCTGTGTTTATGTGTATGATACCTAAATCCTGTGTGTATGTGTATGATACATAAATCTTGTGTTTATGTGTATGATACATAAATCCTGTGTGTATGTGTATGATACATAAATCCTGTGTGTATGTGTATGATACATAAAACCTGTGTGTATGTGTATGGTACATAAATCTTGTGTGTATGTGTATGATACATAAATCCTGTGTTTATGTGTATGATACATAAATCCGGTGTGTATGCGTATGATACATAAAACCTGTGTGTATGTGTATGGTACATAAATCTTGTGTGTATGTGTATGATACATAAATCCTGTGTGTATGTGTATGATACATATCTTGTTTGTATGTGTATGATACATAAATCCTGTGTGTATGTGTATGATACATATCTTGTTTGTATGTGTATGATACATAAATCCTGTGTGTATGAGTATGATACATAAATCCTGTGTGTATGTGTATGATACATACGTATCCTGTGTCTATGTGTATGATACATAAATCCTGTGTGTATGTGCATGATACATAAATCCTGTGTGTATGTGTATGATACATAAATCTTGTGTGTATGTGTATGATACACACATATCTTGCTTGTATGTGTATGATACCTAAATCCTGTGTGTATATGTATGGTACATAAATCTTGTGTGTATGTGTATGATACCTAAATCCTTTGTGTATGTGTATGATACATAAATCCTGTGTGTATGTGTATGATACATAAATCTTGTGTGTATGTGTATGAAAACATGTTTTGTTTTTACAAATGAAAACACTGTATCAGGTTCATGTGCTGTTTTTACAGATGATCACATTGTATCAGGTTCATGTTTTGTTTTTACAGATGATAACACTGTATCAGGTTCATGTTTTGTTTTTACAGATGGTAACACTGTATCAGGTTCATGTGTTGTTTTTACAAATGATAACACTGTATCAGGTTCATGTGTTGTTTTTACAGATGATAACACTGCATCAGGTTCATGTGTTGTTTTTACAGATGATCACACTGTATCAGGTTCATGTGTTGTTTTTACAGATGATCACACTGTATCAGGTTCATATGTTGTTTTTACAGATGATCACACTGTATCAGGTTCATGTTTTTTTTTTACAAATGAAAACACTGTATCAGGTTCATGTGTTGTTTTTACAAATGGTAACACAGTATCAGGTTCATGTTTTGTTTTTACAAATGGTAACACTGTATCAGGTTCATGTGTTGTTTTTACAAATGATAACACTGTATCAGGTTCATGTTTTGTTTTTACAAATGAAAACCCTGTATCAGGTTCATGTGTTGTTTTTACAGATGATAACACCTTATCAGGTTCATGTGTTGTTTTTACAGATGGTAACACTGTATCAGGGTCATGTGTTGTTTTTACAGATGATAACACTGTATCAGGTTCATGAGTTGTTTTTACAGATGATAACACTTTATCAGGTTCATGTGTTGTTTTTACAGATGGTAACACTGTATCAGGTTCATGTTCGTGTTTTGACAGATGGTAACACTGTATCAGGTTCATGTTTTTTTTTTACAAATGAAAACACTGTATCAGGTTCATGTGTTGTTTTTACAGATGATAACACTGTATCAGATTCATGTGTTGTTTTTACAGATAATAACACAATCAGGTTCATGTGCTGTTTTTACAGATGATCACACTGTATCAGGTTCATGTGTTGTTTTTACAAATGGTAACACTGTATCAGGTTCATGTGCTGTTTTTATAGATGATAACACTGTATCAGGTTCATGTGTTGTTTTTGCAGATAATAACACTATCAGGTTCATGTTCTTGTTTTTACAGATGGTAACACTGTATCAGGTTCATGTGTTGTTTTTACAGATGATAACACTGTATCAGGTTCATGTGCTA